CAACAATTTATAAGAATACAAGTAGGGATCTGGTCAGGATCATAACTGAAGGACCGCTTTAAGGATTTCAGATAAACTACTACATCATCGGGAGATATTACTGGGATATTTATAGAGTTCATTGGACATAGTTTAAAAGGATAGTCAATGTTAGCATGTGAGTTAATGGAATAATTGGATTTAAAAAACTGAGCGAACATGTTAGAAATTGTTTGATTATCACTAGAGACGGTATTTTGATACTTCATGGCGGAAGGAAACCCACGTACATTTCGCTTGGAGTTTACGAAGTCATAAAATGATTTGGGGTTATATATTATACGCCGTTTGATTTTGCACAAGTAAGCTTTATAACACTTTTTGTTTAATTCAAAAAACTTATGACGCAAAAGTGAGTATTTTACATAGTATGAGTGTAAACCGGTTTTTTTGTGTAATTTAAAATAACGCGACTTTCTGTTTTTCAAATTTCTCAGTTCTTTAGTGAACCATAACTGTGTTTGCTCTTCAGGAACATACATACGTTTAGGTACATGCTTTTCAAATAATTTATGTAAAGTAAAGTTAAAAAGTGCAACGCTTTGTTCAATATTTTCTTTAAATGCAGGCCATGACAATTTAGACAGTTCTTTGTTAAGCATTTTAAAGTTGGCTTTCGAAAAATCAAAGCGAATATTTGGCTCGTATGCTTGGGTACTGCAATTTTGACCATCACTTATAACTTCGTAAGATACCTCCATAGCAGGGTGGTAGACATCTTCGGGCAAAACTAGTGGATCACACTTATTTACAACGGACTTAGATGCATCTTCAACATAAACAAGATCTAATACTCTACCAAACTTATTGTGAAGTACATTAACCTGAGTTAGGCAGAGTTCAGCCATCTCCTCTAAAAATACGTTGTTGCACGCACTAGACGCGAAAGGAATGATATCATTGTCAATGATGTTCCATGATATGCTTGGTAAATTAAAATCACCCAACATAATCATTGAATCAGAGGGTTTAGTCAGTAAATTAACTGATTTCAGTAAAGAGATGAGTCGTGAATACACCAATGTGTCAGATCGGGGAGGGATATAGCACAGAGCTAAGTAAATAGATCCTTTTCACACGAATGCATTTGAACTCTACTGAATCAATGTGTGGAAGACTAACTTCTTCAGATGGTATTGAAGAGTCTACAGCGAAGAGTACGCCACCACCGTTTCTGTCCTCCCTATCTTGTCTATAGATATGATAATTATTTGGAAGAATCTCTGAATTGAAAATGTGAGGTTTCAGCCAAGTTTCAGTAAAAGAAAGAATATTATAATTACATTCAAGGCCTTTAAAGTATAAGTTCGTTAATTTAGTATTTAAGCCTCTTACATTTTGGTTATAAATACTTAAAGCAGTTTTTTGATTCAGTGTTATGACGGGGAATATTAGCTAAGTTATTTACTTTTTTGGGCCTATATTCGAATTCACGGACGAAAGCTCCGGGGGGCCAAAAAGAGCTACTAAGCAGCGCATTAAAATTATCTAAATTTACGTCAATTTTAAATGAAGCAATATTTCTTTCGTAATTAAAATTAAATTTTCTGATGCTTAAGTCGACAGTTGAAATTTTTGATGATATGTAAGGCTTTATATCGTCTTCGGTAGTGTCTCTCGAAAATCTAGAAACAAAGATTGACTTCTCTGGCGGAACCACAACTAGTCGTATCAGACTGGACCACCGGTGGAGGGGGTTGAGTTTCTGCGTTAGTAGCTGAGGATAGGGAAGGCGGTGGAGGCTTTGAAGATGATGCCACCACTTCAATGGGGGAAGGGGAAGATACTTCAGACTCTTTATTATCCGAAGCAGATTTCGTTACACGGTCTTTTGAGGCTGAGGATTCTGATGCTGGAGGATACGGAGAGGATAAATTAATTAAGTCCGTCGGAAGATTATTCTGACGTGCAACGGCAGCAATTTCCTTAGATGGACTATGAAGACGCTTACGTTTAGACACACGGATATCCTTAACAGATTGCAAGGTATCTAAACATTTGAATGATTTAAGCATATTTTCATAATGCTTAAATTTTTCTATCAGTACCGACAATTCCCTTCCTATTTCTGTAAAACCATTTCTGGTTTGCCTAAATAGCTTGAAAAAATCAACATCACATCAGCCAGCACGATAAGTAGCGTTCAGAATCGCTTTTAATTTGGCAAGTATCAAGATCACACTTCATATTGAAAGATGTATGTAATACACTCGTTAATAAAAGACAAACAAAATAAATTATAACAATTAAGGAGCTGATGTAAATAGCTTTAAATAAATGTAGCGAACAGTTTGAGTATCACTGTAATTATGACACTTAATAAACGCAACGCAAACAGCTGTGACAAGAATTACTAGAAGAAGTAAACAAAAAGAGTAGAACAAATGTGCAAAAACAAAATGAAAGTTAACTACAAAGGATACAACAACAATGATAGTAACAAATGACTCGGCAAAATTAAAATGTATGCTAGTGAAATTTAATTAAATTTACTTTAATAGAAAACCAATAACTTTCACTTAGCTTCAAATATTTCACACTCTGATGCTCATAAGCACTTTTTATCACTACTTTAACACAGAATTAGCACAATGAACTTAGTAAGTAGAAAGCCAAAATCAGAGCACAATAAAGTACAACCTCACAGCTTGGCGTTTGCTTTTAACTTTTTTAACGAAAAAGCATCTGCGACGTGCAGACTGAAAGCGTATTTGAACGAAAAACCCGCCAAGCAAAAGTCTATTTAAAGTAAACAAGCACCCCGCTGCATCCCTTTTTCAGTAGTTTCGAACAAGTTCAAAATTCGCCAGATGAGATCTAGTTCGTTCTGCATCCTTTTTTCTATAGTTTTGAACCAGTTCTAAATTGGTCATTTTAGATATAGATTTCTAAAATTGTTTTTTAAAAGTACCACATATCGCTGCTTTTGAACTGGTGGCGATCCAGTTACTATCGCACTGGTCCGTTTTGGCAATAAAGATCTAGTGTGGAACTACAAATTTGGTTCACCAGTTCGGGGTTTCCCTACAGGGTGGTTTAAAGTGTCTACAAAATAGCGTTGACTAGCTGACTGCATCACGCATTTTCTTCCATACAAAGTTACTATCCCAGTACGAATACACGATACGATACATATAATGAAAACCGAGGTTATTCACATATGGACAGATTTAGTTATTTTTGTTAGAAGCAGGGGCAAAATGTAACCACTCACTCCCGCTCTCTTCAGTATGTGTGATCTCATTTCTCTTTCTATCTCACACGATTTGCAACTATACGTCCCTTTTACTCTCATCAGGTTTATCGGTTATAAAACCAGTTATATACACATTAAATCGAACATATAATCAGTTACACCGAACGCATAATTAAGTTACATTTAACTAGTCGTTGTTAATGTACAAAGCTGTCATTTGGAACTAGTAATTCCTAACGTACAAAATGGTTATAAATAACCATTCATCATCGTAATAGAAATAAAATGTTTTGTTATTTTGCTTACATATATTCATTCTGTATATATGTAAATATTTTTATTGAATTTTTTAGTTTACAACATAAGTAATAGTAAAGCTTATAAATCTTGAAAATGGCTCCGCTGCCGTATATAGTTTTAAGCTAATAAGTTTGAAATTAGTTTATAATTAAAAAAATTGATTTAAAAAAAATTAGAGATGGCATTTTAAGCTTTTTTGCTTGTTTAGTTCTTCCTATCCTTTTATAAAGAATAAGAAAGGAACTTAAAATAAATAAAAATTTGCCTCCACTGCCATATGTATGCATATGTTTTAATCGAATAAAATAATTTTTGTATGGAAATACATATTTATCCAAATAAGTTTGAAATGAATTTGTATCCTTATAAATTAATTAATAATAGGATAAACATACATACATACAGTATCCTTCATATCAAAAGCACCCCCCTTTTAAAGTGGTCCCAGCCAGCAAGAAAACGTACATTTTACGAACATTATGTTTCACGAGGGGTTCTCGATTGGCGAAAAGTTAGAGAAAAGCTCGTAAACGATAAAGCAAAAAACAAAATAAAATAAAGAGGCTTGTAGGGGTTTGTCAGCACAAGAAAAAACTTTCATTCTGTTGGAAAATTTTCTTGAACCACAATATTTTATAATATATAATATTCGCATACGAATGCTTTTTCGATCCGTTTACGACTGTTCATAGGCGATCGACAATTTCAAGCGATAAAGTACTCGAAAACGAATCGTAAACGGCTATCATAAACGAAATTTTAGCCGGTTTTTCTTCGAGAAAATATCCAGTTTCGAGTTCGTTTACGATGATTTTGCTGGCTGGGATATTTTTTGCCCCTTTTGTTTATATACAGTATATTTTGCTTAGCTGCACATCCTTCTTTGCACGAAAAACTTGTGCACTTAACCGAAAAAGGCACTTAAGCGAATTTTCTTTACTACTTCAATGGGGAAGGTATCCAAGTCCCTATGAAAGCAAATAATGGAGAAGTACTTACCACGTAGAAATTACTGCAAGCGAAATTTTTACCGAATAGTATCTAATTATCTATATAACTACATAAATTTATAGCCATTTTCGTTGTTCTGCGAGATGAACAAAATAAATAAAAAGTTGTAAAAATAGGTAATTGTAGGGCCAGTGCTGGTAAACGTAATACTTTCTTTGATAATTGATACTAGTCGCATATTTTTTAAGGCAGGTATCTCCAATGTGCAGGTATGCTAAATGCATCTATCGGAGCAGTTTCCTTATAAATGTTAAAAATAATGCCTCTGATGCGCATTTTGGTGTAGGTATCTTAAATGTGCACTTAAGCATAGAGGCAGCAAAGCAAAATATACTGTATTTATTTTTAAGAATTTTCAATTGAAATACAGTTAATTTTCTAACAAAATCCATATAAACCCAAGTTTAAAATTTGGAAGAAAACTAAAAAAATTCAACAAAATTCCTTCTAAATTTCCAACTTTTTTCTCAGAAGTTATATAGTTTTTTTGAGTACACAGTTTTATAGTCCATTCACTTTTAGTCTAATAATATTCAAGTTTCAATTAGCTAAAAATGACCGTGGATTTTTAAGAATTTTTTTTGTCGCATTTGCTTACATATAACGAATAAACACAATCAGCCTGATTGCGAGCGTCATGTCCTTTGCAAGTCGTTTTTCGAGAGTCGAGTCGCATCGAAAATTGCATGGCATTGTCTTAAATTTCGACTCGACTAGTGTATTGGCAGCACTACATAGTTTTCGACGATTTTCGTCGTTTACTTATTCCAGCACGACAGTAGGCAATGCCAATGTTGTCGAGTCGTACAATTTAGCATGATTTACGACGTAAGCAATGAGGCTGAATTTATTTTTATATGGAAGAAACAACACGCAACAACTTCGAAAAAAAAATATACAAAATCAACGGTAATTTTTAACCACTTGAAACTGGCACTAAAAATGAATGGGCTATAAAACTGTATACTAAATAAATTCTACAACTTCTGAGATGAACTGTATTTTAATTGAAAATTTTTAAAAATAAATAAATATAGATATGTGGCAAAGAATATTGAAATAGGGGTACTGTTGATATGGCCGATACTGTATATTTATGTATAATTAAAAAAATGTAATTCATAAATATTTTTTAAGTGTCAGTACTTTAAGACTTCTGCAGATTATACATATAGTTACTTATGTGTTTAATATTGTGGACACATTTGCCTTCTTATTATCTAAAAATCTGTTTTGCTTGGTTCTGAGCTCCACCGCCTTTTTTATACCTTTTTCAAATTGTTTGCGTCCTGGCAAAGTAATAATTAGTCACTAGTTTAAAATGTATATGTAACGCAACCTACCAGACATTAATTTGTCTACCAGCAATAGCTGGTTTAAAGCCTTCTTTTCGCACCGCCCATCATAGTTAAATAGATGAAGTAATTCGTCCGTGAACACTTTTTTCATTTTACTGCCCACGTCCTCAGAAACACCTTTGAGTTTATACAGCACTGCGGTCTGCAAATATATACAGTGAATGTCAGTAAAAATGTAGTGATTTTTCAATTACCATAACTCTCTCATATTCTTCTTTCTTTAGCTTTTCTTCAATATCATACAATGCGGCTAATGAGTTTATCGGTAAAAGAGTAACTCGTCAGGATTTTCTCCGGTTATGGTGGCTATAGAATTTTTGATGAGTGTTACGGACACCTTGGTCTCACGCAGTAGCTTGTTTGTTGCCATAAACTCTGTTTTGTCAACCATCTGAAAATAAAAAGAGAACTATTTATACAATATAAGAATGGGGAACTGTGTGGAATAAACGTAAATAAATGTGTGTAATAAATTAAGACTATAACTTTTACATTTTGTGCAAGCGTATCAATTTTCTTCTCGATCCTCTCCTGGTTTCGACAATCTTGTGAAGTAGGTCAGTCACATCTGAAATAAAAATAAATTATAGTAGAAAACACTTCCGGGTTATTAAATATTTTACCGTTTGCTTGTGATGGCTGGGTATTTTCCACAGCTGCAAAGACCTTCCTCTTTTTGAAGGGTGTATTGTTACAATCGCTTGTTGACAGTTGCAATCTGGGAATTGTTGTGGCAATAGTAACTTCGTCTAAAAAAAATAGAAAGGCAAAAATGTGAAAGTTGAGAGCTTTATAATACACATGCATCATTCTTATAAATTTTATACAAAGTTTGCAAGAATGATTTATATGGTTTTTGTTACAGAATGATCTACATTTTAAATGAAAATTAACAAAAAATATTTAGTACTTCTGTGAATGACTGTAAATATATTTTATATCTTACCATATACTGGAATTAAGAGCACGCCTTCAAAAATAGTGGCTGTCTCTATTTCTGTAGTAAAAATAAAAATATTTTTAAGTATTTGTCTTTTATCTTTCTTTAAAGTGTGAATTCGTGAACTAGGTGATGCGGGATCGGAATTAAAATATACTTTCCTTCAGTAGTAATACAAAAATATTTATACTTTGTCATTTTTCAGTATTTTTAAAAATTGCTAGTATCTAAGTGACTACCTACTACTATACCAAGACCTGAAAAAGGTCTTAGGGGCTCATTGAAGTAATCTTTAGTAACCATAAATGTATAAGCCAAATAGTTATCACTTTCTGAATCTGTACCTATAACTTTTAACGGACCAAAGTTTTCACTGCAGTGATAACATTCTTTCTCAACTTTGCAATAAATATCAAACTGCATTTCATAATTGGTGGTCTTGATAGCTGAAACACTTAATGAATACCTCTCTTGGACTATTAAACACATTTGTTGCAAAATGATTCGGCTTTTTTATCATCTTCTTTATATGTTGCATATAGTTCTCAAACTTGTATGCTGAGAAACTATCAAGGTACATATTGTTTTGCGCATTCTGAAAGATGTAGTCATCCATGGACATTGAAACTAATTAAATGCTTGCCATAAATAACGCCAAATATATTCACAAACTGTTCTAGTATTTTTTGTGTTACATTACTTTCTTTGCTATGAGATCTTTCACTAGACAATAAACGGATACCTGAATGCAGTAACAAAAAATGGTAATAATGGTCGCTCGGTATACAATCTTTGAGAATAAATACCCCAGAGTACAGCAACAACTGCCTAAACTCAGTTGCTTTCCAATTTGAAATTTCATCTAAATTTCTTGAAACGCGACCAAATTCTTTTGGCACATATTTTTTCACTAAATTCATTTTTTCGTTCATTTTAGTAACATTTCCTACTTTCATTAGAAGATGAAGCAATTTTTTCATTACTCCTAAATCCACTAAATGCATCACGTCCAAGGGAAATTGAGATACCATTCCAAACCCACAAAGCTCAACTAAACTCTTTGCATTTTCAAATTGTACTCTGTGATGCAATTTATCGGTGCGAAGTGCAAAAGAAGAATCTGATCGAGGTGTATGAAGTTGTTTTGAGAAGCTTACTCTATTTTCCCACTTGACTGCATTTTGGACACCCGTTTATTGCATTATGGGATTTAACGCCAGTGACAAAAGAGCGGGCAGGCGTATCACAAGTAAAAAGGCGGATATTCAATCTTTTAAGGTTTTCACTATATCCGACTTTAAGCCCAATTTCTCTTAATAAAACCACTTCTTCACAAAAAGCACGCGTTAAAATCGTCAATATTTTCCGGTTTTTTGGTACCAGAAAAGCAGGCGATAGGAAACGGACTTTGGTCTTAGAACCCTACTAGCGATCCTAATATCGGCCATAAAACTTTATTAGAACTTTTAAATAACTTAAGTCCGTGGATGCCTACATCAATTAGTATTTCGCTGGTGTTATTTAGGAAAGAGAAACTGTTGGATATAAAATGGTTCTGAATTCCAAAGTAAACAAAATCTCCTTGGGACAATTTTTGTATTTCAGATTTCTGCCGATTTGTTTCCAGAAGGGATTTTGCTGACTTTGGAAAACCTTGAACACCAACTCTCCTCAACATCTGGAGCAGATCGTTTACGGCATTTTGCGAGATGTTATCTCGCACTACCCAAGATTTCATCTCACTACACTTGTCTGGTATTTCGCCAAATGTTTCACTAATTTCCACATCTATTGCATCACTTATATCACTATTAATGCTTATTATCATTATTATTAGCGTTTTCAATTCTTTGAGCAAATTCATCAAGCTTTCTATATTTTTTTGCGCTTGACAGATAAATTTGTTTTTCTTTGCTCATTAGGTTTGAAAACGTCTTTTTACTAATTTTTTATTTACAATAATTGTAATACTTATCCTTTTCCGTTGAATTCCTCCAAATTATTTTTCTGTCTAATTCTTTTTATTAAGTTTGGTTTTACAGCCACGTGATCTCGAATTTTCTAATTCTGCTTCTTACATGCGCACTTCGCTTTTCACCAGAGTTACCGTGTGCCAATTTTTGGGCATCAGTTTAAAATTTAAACTTGTCACTATCTTCATTACTCAGCTATTTTCAAATAAAATATTTAATAATTAATTAAAAAACAACAACCATGCAAATGTGTATAATTATTTTAAGGATTTGTCGATCTTCACATTTATGTTTGCGTTTATAATTTGTATGTATGTACATGCTTTTAGAGTTTAAGAAAAATAGTTCAAATGAATTGACAGCGGCAGCACTATATGTCGCCATAGCAACGTATGTACGAACATATAGCAACCATAGCGAATTCAAGTTAATTCATAGTAGCACTATCCATTGTGTGTTAGAAGGAGACAGTCATATAAGCGAGGCGCGGATTGTAGAAAAGAGAACTTTTTCAAATTTCAACGGTTTTCATTATATGTATCGATTTTTAAACGGGTCAATTAACCCGTACTATTCTTACTGGGAATGAAATTGGTGAGCATGTATAATTGAGAAGTGAATCTCTGATTTCGACGCTCGAATTTTGGTTAGGCTTTGCTAACAGGGATGTTCGCAAATTTGTTTTGAATGTAACGTGAATTTTAGGCCTATTGAAACTTGCACCTTATTACTAATATAAAATAAATTAGGAATGTGCGATTAATCAATTAATCGAAGAAGCTGATTAATTGAAAGTCAATTAATTAATTAATCAAAGAACAATTATTTTTGATTAACCAAAATGATTAATTTTCCAATTAATTAAATATTGATTAATCAGAATATAATTAATTTGATTAATCAGCAAACAGATTAATCAAAATCTGATTAACCAGAAATCTGAGTAATTGCTGTTATATTTTGGTTGACATACATACATATGTATGTTTGTATACAAAAAAGAAAAAAAAAGAAAAAGAATTTATACATATCTTCATATGTATGTACGTATATATGTATACGTATTTTTCATTTTAGGGAGCTACATATGTACATATGCATATATTAAAGTAGTATGTACTTCATAGTACGTACTATTTTGGCATTTTATTTTTATTAATAAGAAAAATATTGAATGTGCATACGAACATACATACATATTTGTATATACAAACATTCGAATAAAAAAAATTTCATTTGGTTTGAAATCACACAAATGAACAAAGTTATTCAGATTTAAATTAATTATTATTTTTTCAATAAACAGTAATTACTCAGGATCTTATTAATCAGAATCTGATTAATCAAATTATTTTATTAATCAGGATTATGATTAATTAAAACGCTGATTAACCGATTAATCGCACATTCCTAAAATAAATTATAAATACAAAGTTTGTTGTTGTGCAATTTTTTAATTTCTCCATAAAGTTTGAAATGTGAATTTATATGGTGCTAAGTATTATATAATTAGCTAAACTTTAATAAAAAATGAATAATAATTAAACAAACAAAAGGAAAATAGACAAAACTGGTCATGATTTCGTGTCCCTATTTTTTACATACATAACTACGTACATGCATAAATGCACTTTTATAACGCATTTCCACGACCACTGTATGTAAAAATTTAGGCAGCCAAAAAAGTATAATTACAGTATTTCGGAAAAAAACCGCAGTATGCATTTTAGGAATCAAAGCAAAAGTATTATACCGCCTAAAAAGTGTAGATACGAGCGTTAGCCATGGGCGTAGCCAGAACAAAATTTAGGGGGGGGGCCCATACAAAAAAAAATTCAAAACCAATAACTTACTAAAAAATTGTTTATTATACCTTAAAATTATTGTAGCCAATAGAGGTAAATATGTCGTAACTAACTGTTGTAACTGTATAAAACTATTCGTCGATTTAAATTGTTAACTTTTTACTGAGTACGTTTATTTCACGAGGAGGAAGCATCGAAAGCCTAACCTCGTCAGTGTGAGACTTTAACCCTACCGTTCCCCTCCCGATACCATTGTCAAGGATTTCGTCGGGATTATAACACTGTGTGACTGATAAGGTTATAGATCTATTCTCTTCTTCTTCTTCTTATTTGGCGCTGTAACCGCCAAAGCGATTTTGGCCAAATGACGCCAAGTGAAGCCAGAATACTTTAAGAGCTGGGGCGTCGGTGTCCATTCGAACGACATGGTCAAGCCAGTTGAGCCGCTGTATTTTATTTCGCCATATACCAGCACGGGCATGATGAGTGACTTATGGGTTTCGTACGTCGAGAGAGGACTTTACTGCCTACTCAGTTCAAAGCAGTACTTGTTGGCCAGAGCGATTCTGCGTTGGATTTCCATGTTGACATTATTATCGGTGTTAATGCTGGTTCCCAAGTAAACGAAATTCTTGCTTTATCGAAATTATAACTGTCAAAAGTGACGTGGGTGCCAAGGCGCGAATGTGCTGATTGTTTGTTTGATAACAGGGATACTTCGTCTTGTCCTCGTTTACCACCAGACCCATTCGCTTTGCTTCCTTGTCCAACTTGGAAAAGCCAGGACAGGCATCGCGGTTTTTGTCAGTGTCATCGGCATAAGCCAGCAATTGTACGCTCTTGTAGTAAATTGTTCCTGAGCAGTTCAGTTCTGCAGATCTTATTATCTTCTCCGACATCAGATTAAAGAAGTCACATGAAATAGAGTCGCCCTGTCTGAAACCCCGTCTGGTGGCGAACGGTAACAGAGCAGAGCTGGTGGTATTGCTCAACGTCATTTCTCACAGCCGTATGAGTTTTGAGGGGATATAGGAAACTCCTTTTAGTGCTGTCGAAAGCGGCTTTAAAGTCGACATATAGGTGGTGAGTGCCGATCCTTTTCTTGCGGGTCTTTTCCAAGATTTGGCGTATTGTGAATACCTGGTCTATGGTAGACAATACATTCGATAAGACCTTGCAACCTATGCTTAGAAGGCTGATCCCGCGGTAGTTGGCACGCATGGCGGGGTCGCCTTTCTTGTGGATTGGGCAGAGCGCACTTGAATTCCAGTCGTCGGGCATGCACCTTATTGCCTCCTTGCCATCGTAATTAAATAGCTAAGCTGACAGACCGTCAGCTCAAGCAGCTTTGGCACTTTTCGTCATAGTCAGGCGATGGGCTATCGACTCCATCGTCATCGACTGGGACCTCGGGTTCGTCTTCTCCACTTCTTTCAGTGCCATTCAACAGGGTCGAAAAGTGTTCCCTCCATAATCTGAGTACGTTCTGGGCATCGGTCACTAGGTCGCCATGGTTGTTCCCACAAGAGTCTTGAAACCTTCCGTAAGTCGCTCTACTCTCTACTAAAAATTTCGGGTGTTTTTTCTGTCGGCCAGCATTTTAAGCATTTTCTCACACTCCTCATCGTACCAGTAATGAGCGGGAAATGTGGTTTCACTGATCGCGCAAGTCGGTTTGTTGAAGAGTGCTCTCTCACAGCAGGTGTGAGGGTCGAGCGCCGAATCCATTGGCCGTCTGTTTTGATTGCAGCTTTTCGACGTTGAACTTTCCTTGCATTGTTGGAGGCCCTTTTTTGCATGCCTTCCGTCTATCGCAACATGCTCGATTTGGTTTCCCGTTTTTCGATTTGAAGACACCCATGTAGCTTGAAGGATGTTTTTATGCTAGAACCCAGTAATACATACTGCCAAGTTTCGGGCCCCGGCGAAGTCGATCACCCTCAGCTAATATGTACGCTCTAAGCTAAGAGAGCCTTGTATGCACATATGAATCAGATGTTGAAGAATCTCGCTTTGATGCGGATTTTGGCTAGACTTTCGTCCACTAGAGTGAACGCCGGTCTCTCTCCCACCACAAATCCAACACCGAATTGCACTGCTTTACGTGGCAACTCTAGTAGACGTCGCAAGGGTCCACGCTTACCTTCCTCGCCCCGTCCATCGCATTTCGTGGATGGCGGTGATGTCAACCTTTATTTTCCCTAGTACATCAACCAGCCGGGCAGAGGCACCATCCCGATTAAGGGTTCGGATGTTCCAAGTGCATACCCTAAAATCATAGTCCTTCCTATGTTTGCCGTGATCGTCATCAAAAGAAGGGGGTACCATCCCAGGCATGTGTTTTTTTTTCATTGGGCAGGGTTCTAACGTGGCGGGACCCACTCCCAGTTCAATAGCAGTCGAAAGCTTTGCAGTACTGGGAAATGTACAAATCATAGTGGTCAAAAGCGAATATCTAAACTAAACCCTGATGTATTTTTTAAATTCATAGCTCTACAAACCTGGATAGTAAGCCAAGTAGCCTGACCAGACGTTATTCAAAATAAAAAAATGTAAAAAATAAACTTTTTTCCGCATACTCTGTAATATTCTTCCGCAATTTTGTAAGGTAAACTAACAATTTATAATCATTGCTTTGCAGCGAAATATCTTATCATAAATTATACACATACCCTTTAGGGAAACGAACTAGTGCGGAACTGGTACGGTTCTAGTGCGTTTGGAACCATGACTAGTACGCGTTAATTCTCTTTTGCATGCTAGCGACTGGCGAATTTAACATTGCGATGTCCTAGGAAGTGTCAATTGTCCCCCGTTGCATCCCTTTGGTTCTAGTTCCGAACCAGTTATAAATTCGACAGATAAGATCTAGTTCGTTTTGCATCCCTTTTTCTATAGTTCCGTACCAGTTCCTAATTCGATAGATGAGATCTAATTCGATCTGCATCCATTTTTTATAGTTCCCAACCTGATATACCGCTGTGGTGTAGTGGTAAGCAGTGCGCGCTTTCACTCACCAGCACCTGGGTTCAAGCCCTGGTCAAAGCAACATCGCAAAAAATTTAGAAAAAGGTTTTTCTTAATAGCGGTCGTCCCTCGGCAGGCAATGGCAAACCTCCGAGTGTATTTCTGCCATGAAAAACAGCTTCTCATAAAAATACAATCGCCGTTCGGAGTCGGCGTAAAACTGCTTTGTGTGACAATATCAAGGCGCACGCCACAAGTTGGAGGAGAAGCTCGGCCAAACACTAACATATGTGTAAGCGCCAATCTATTATTATTATTAACCTGATATAAATTCGTCACCTTAGATCTATATTTCTAATCAGGCTTGTCGAAACATTTCCCTTTTATATTAAATACGATCGGTTGAAGGAAGGACAA